TCCCCCCACTTAACCCCCCGGTCGCCGCCCATCGAACATCAACATAAAAATCCATGTGATGTCGATGACTTTTTTGTTTTGCCTGTTCGTTTTTGTTGTTTTCGTGCTCTATGCGTTTGTCGTTGTTGTTTCTTTTTTCGTTCTCCTCTCCTCTGCTCTCTCCGTCACTTACATATTTAAATGTGCATATGGTATCCACTCTCTCCTACGTGTTGTTTTTGTTGTTTCTGGCGTTGCGTAGTCGCATGTGAATGCTCTCTAATCTCCTAATGTCGTTGAACCTTTCCAGTACTTTTTTTATTGTGCCGTACGACTTTATTGTTATTATTATTTTCCGCGACTCTCCGCTTTTTTGTTGTTGCTCATTGTGTTTGCTTTTGCAGATTCGCTCGCCTGTTGGCTCCGCACGCGGATCTTCCGCTCAGATCCGCTCTCCTTGCTCCACTCACTCTCTTGAATTACTTTATGTCATAGCGGACAACAGCAACAACAAGAATTACCGATGACAATGATAACAGCAGCAGCAAAAGCATCAACAACAACTGACAAGGGCGGGTGTCAAAAAGGGGGTGACGGGGGCTCCAAACAATCCCCTTAAATTTTGAAGCATACTTATTCTAATTGACCGCATACATTGAACTTTATTCGGCTAAAAATAACCTGAACTCTAAAAGATACTTTTAGATTTTATATCACAAAATCCGGGTCGATAAACTAGAACCGGACTTTCCTTATAATTGTCATTACCACTTAAAAAATGTATCTGGTAGTACTTAAATCAATACTTTCGTTCTCAAAATTTGCCCCAAATCCTCTAAAAACTGTATAAATTTAAATTCGTCTCATCTTCAAGATCACTTCACGTCATAAAAACAAACTAGAGTGCACTTTTGTTTTGATTTCAATAACGAATTTTAACTTTGAGATCTTTTTTTTGTTTTTTTTTTTTTGTAGATATCGATTTTGAGATTACGCCCCCAAACCTGTGGTTGACATCCGAAAATAAATTTAAAAATCTTTTCCAACAAATATAATACCCCTTAAAACTATGTTTTCCCATCGCCCCTGACAAGTGCACACGTGCAATTCTGCCCGCTGCCTCGGGGCAATTATTTCCAATTTAGCAAAACAACACAACAGCAGCAGCATCGAGCATAAGCATCCAAAGCTATAGATTGGGACCCTGTCCGAGATCAGGGCTTGGCTGTTATGGACCTGCTCCTATTGTCTTTCCAGCAGTTCATTGCCCGATGCGCAGATGCAGCAGCTCTAGCATCATACTATAAAAACTCACGGAGAGAAAAAAGATAATACGTAATTTGGTATAGAAAATTAATAAAATGATTGGAAAACGGAATATTTATTGAACCAAAAAAGTTACCAATTATACTGTAAATAATGTTATTAGTAGTTCTATAAAAAAACTTAAAATTTATAGACTTTTAAATGAATGTAACAAATAATTTAGGATAATAAGAAAAACAAAGTCATTAAAATAATGTTTTTATCATACTTTGATTTTATAATAATGCTTAGAATAAAACAAAGCTTCTGGGACACATTATTTTCTGTATAGGATACATTTTATGATATCTAAAAATCAGATATTCTAAGTAATAGGATTTTTATTAGTCATTCAGCCTTCACCATTCGTTTAGCTTTTTGTTTAAAAACAAGTAAATCAATTTTAATTTGTTCCGGTGCAGCCCCAACCCAACAGCGATCCCCATCATCAGCTTGGTCATCACAGGGACTGGAGACTGAGGACTGAGGACTGAAGACTAAGACTGGGGTCAGGCCTGCTCCATGGTCCATGCAATTACTCCATGTACTTGGGACTGTAATAACACGGACGCGAACTGTACGTAAACTGGTTGCAGGATGCTGTTGCAGTTGGAAACTTGGAAACTGGGAGACCTGGAGCCGGGCAGCGACTTTCTAGCCGGTGTTATCTGTCTATATCTATCTAGGAAAACCAGTTATTGGGGGCCCAGGCTTGTTGCACGCCCATTTCGAGCCGAGCCAAGAGCCAAGAGGAGGAGCAGCTCCTCATCCACATCGGTTGTTAAAGTTAAAGTGGCTATAGTTGCTGTTGATCGGAGCAGGACTAGACCTGTTGCTGGTTGCTGATCGCCGATGTTGCTGTCTGCAACTTGCAACTAGCAACTCGCAACTCGCAGCTCGCAACTCGCGGCTCCCAACTGGATTTGCCGAAGACTGTTGACTCCGTTGTTTTTCTATTGCCAGTTGTTCAGCAATTCAGAGGCTCTCGAGGCTCACGACTTCCTTCTTGGTTCTTCTAGCTGGGATATTGTATAAAAACAACTCGTACAGCTGCGAGTTCGTTGACTCCGAGTGGAGCTATTCTAATGCCCGGCAAACGTGTTTGGCAACTTGCAATCCGATTGGGAGTGGGGGAAAAATGGAAAATGGGAGTGGGAACACAGCTCCACATACTCCTACTCCGACTGCGACTCCCACTCCTCCGATTTCCATTTCCACAGCAACAACAACAAAAAAACATTCAGCCGGAGAAGTCATCGCCTTACTAATTGCCCACGAGTGAATTGAAATTGAAATGAAATTCGCATTGAAGCGTTAAGGGAAAATCAAATGAATTGCACATTGAAGCCGATGTGCTGCAAACTGAAGCGATTTAAATGGAAACGAACGAGGAAAACGGGTCGAGGTTTCAGAACGCCAGTAAACTGGATTCTCTTGATAACGAAATATGACATATTTAATGGTGATCCCTTGTTTACTTTACCCGAGCTCGTAAACGATTTTGTAATATTTACTCGAGAGGCGATCGTACAATTTAATTTTATTAATTATAGATAACTAAAGACCCATTTTACTTAATTAGTTTTACCTCATAATCCTGTTTGTTTTTGATTACTCCGTTATTACTTACAATTAAATTCAAAAATAAATATATTCTACTTATGCGGTTATTCCACTACATTGTTCGGGTCATTCATTAGAGCATTCATTGGAGGCTTAAAAAAGGGACAAATATATATGCTATTTTTGGGATTTGTTTGGATAAGATGGCATGGTCACTTAAAATTTAGACGTTAAATTTAAACTTTATAATTCAAATAACTTTGACTGGTTAAATCATTAAGGTTGAAGGCTGTAAAATTAATAGTGTTTTTAAATTGTTTTGGGCTGTTTAAAGTACATCTGTAATTGTTTTTAATTTTATCATACCCGGCATTAATTTTTAGGAAGGCAATTTTATATAAATTTATAGACGCAGTTATGCCTTTATATAGAAATATGCGAGTTATTTTTAGTTGGCAACGGAGTAATTAGGCCACTAAAATAATTTTTGTATTGTTCATATTTGTTTATAGCACCTTATTAGACGCAAAAGGTTTGGCAATTCAACCAAAAAAAATCAAATCAATTTTTATTATTGATCCCATTTCACAGTAGCTCTAATAAATGAGCAAAATTGTACTTTTTAGATTCAATTTTGCTCATTGCTCATCGGTTCAGGTAGTACCGTATTGAGGCATTTTACAATACTAAAAAAAAAATACCAAAAGTGCCCATCAGTTTTTACAATTTGCTCATTGATTGCTTATTGCAGCCGACATATATCTGTCTTGCTCGCACCTACGTAAAATTGTATATGCTGAGAAAAAATTGCACTAGGGGGATTCCCTAAACTGTTGAATTGCTGAATTGTTGAAAATTCAACAAAAAATTTCAGCAATTAAGGGAACGACCCAAAATGACTCCTGTTGAATTTTCAAACAGCTGTTATTTGTTGAAAAATTTCACGGTACTTAAAGCATGTAAAATTTGATTTATTATTGCTAGTTACTGTCTAAAAGTGTTACCAAGGTAAAAAGAACCACAAATATGCTTTCTAAGTTGATTTTAAAATAAATAATGCGTACTGGTGATACTAAAATGTTACAGAGTTGCCACGACTTTTAAAAAAAGGTGACAACTCTGGCTTTTCAGCAATTCAACAACATTTTCAGCAGCCCCGAGGCTGATGAATTGCTGAAATTTCTGAAAGTTGACTTTGTATGGAACAGCTGATTAACAGCTGACCAAAATTCAACAATTCAGCAATTCAACAGTTTAGGGAATCCCCCTACTAATGAATGACCCGAACAATGTAGTGGAATAACCGCATTATGGACCAATTTAATTTACAATTTGCACGTAAATAAAAACATGCAAAAGCATTTAATTACAGTTTTGCCTAATTGTCTTGTCTGGCAGAATTTGTTGTAATTTATGTAGGTTAATGAATAGCTAATTATTGGCTTTCAAACTTGTATTCGAGTAATCAGGTGTTAGCACTCGAATTAGGAGAATCTAGATAATGAGTAGAATTAACGTAACTAATAGCTCTTAATAATATACTAAACAAGAAATATTCAAAAAGAGATTGATTGATAACTTTTTTTCGCTTGATAATTCCAAACATTTAGTAAAATAATATTTAATAAATCATAAAATAAAGTATCATATATGAATTAGAGTTAAAACTTAAGGTAAGCTGTATCTTTTCTTTTTTTTTTTGTTCTTTTAAATATTTTTAAAAAGGTTATCCCTAGTATCATAATTTCATGAGATTGATTTTTCGATTATTTCATAGAAATAAATTTTCCAAACTTTTCGTCCATTCACCTCATTACAAAATTCCGAAGAGAAATTCGGCTGTCCATCACCGAAAACAACTTTATTGACACGGGCATAAATATCAATTTACGCCCATTTCTTTTGTGCCGATGATGGTTTTATTTCTCGAGCACCATCTGTTGCGGGCCAGTGTGCCTGTAGGGCAAGAACAGGGCCCGTCGAAGTGCCCAAGTGGATCTGGGACTGCCTTTGGGTCCCGGGGCTGGCCTGTCCATCATCATCGATAGGCCCAAGTTCTGAGTTCCGATTGTTGGTCTTGGGGCAAATCAGTCAGCGAGGCACTCAGTGGAGCGTGAATGGCAATTGCCGATATCCACACATTCAATTAATAAAATCAACAGCAGCAGCAGCAGAGACGGGGAGACCTTATCGCAATCGCCGGGACGAAAGGACCTGGACATGTCATTAGCCAGTCTTCGGTTCGGTTCAGTTGGTCCTCGGCCATGGCCGGGAAAAGAGTGGAGAGCTGGTCGCGATTCCTGCTGGTGTGGCTATATCGCTTTGCCCGCGGTCTCTCGCTGCTTTCCTCGAACTTGGACCGGGAGAAGCTACAGCTGAAGCCCCCAAGACGAGGCAGTAGTAATCGCATCCTCAGCATCCTGTGGCGCTGTCTGGTGGTCTTCACTTACGCAGGAGTATGGCCATTGCTAAGCGCATCCGTTGTGGGCAAACGACTGGAGAGCTATGCCGATCTATTTGCCTTGGCTCAGTCGCTTTCGGTATCCATTTTGGCCGTCGTATCCTTTATCATCCAGGCAAAGGGAGAGGGCGAATTTCGGGAGGTGATAAATAGATACTTGGCCCTTTACCAAAGGATATGCTCGACTACGCGTTTGCAGCACCTGTTTCCACCGAAATTTGTGGTTTTCTTTTTGCTCAAGTTGTTCCTGACCCTGTGCGGTTGTTTCCACGAACTAATTCCGCTGCTAAAAGCCGAACACTTCGAGGATATCGGCCGAATGGTGGCAGTATGTTTCAGCATATACATGTGGCTTGGAACGCTTTTCGTCCTGGATGCCTGCTTCCTGGGATTTTTGGTCTCGGGAATCCTGTACGAACATATGGCTGCCAATATCATGACCATGCTGAAGCGAATGGAACCCATAGAGTCGCAGGAGGAAGGAAGTCGCATGAGCAAGTATCGCAGGATGCGTCTGCTGTGCGATTTTTCGGATGAGTTGGACGAATGTGCCGCCATCTACAGTGAACTCTACCAAGTGACTGTCTCCTTTCGCCGGATGTTGCAGTGGCAAATCCTCTTCTATGTTTACTACAACTTTATCAACATTTGCCTAATGCTATACCAATATATTCTGCACTATCTCAATGACGATGAAGTGGCTCTGGTTTCACTGGTCATAGCTTTTGTAAAGTTGGCCAATCTGGTTTTGCTCATTATGTGTGCAGATTATACGGTGCGGGAGTCGCAGAAACCCAAGAGATTGCCCCTGGAAATAGTTTGCAGTGATATTGATGAGCGTTGGGATAAGAGTGTAAGTGGTTGTCCTTTAAAAATATATTTATAAGAATTTATACCTTTTCCAGGTTGAAACTTTTCTCAGTCAGCTGCAAACACAGAGACTGGAGATCAAAGTACTGGGATTTTTTCATCTGAACAACGAGTTCATCCTCCTCATCCTGTCTGCCATTATATCGTACCTCTTCATACTCCTTCAGTTTGGCATTACAGGTGGTTTCGAGGCATCGGATGATATTAAAAATCAGTTTGATTAAAATCAAATAAAAATTGTAATTATCACTTGGTTTAATGTTTTTCTAGTAGGGTTTTTTTTGTCTTGACCCTAAAAAAATAAATATGTAAAGTATTCTACGTTTTCTCAACACCCTCGTTCTCTCATCTTATTATTTTAGTTAACCTCTACCGCCGAAGTTCACCTGAGCCGCCCTGAGTTCATTATCGTTCATTATATCTCATTCCACAAGACATTCTGGTACATTTTTCGGAGTGCCTCTGAGATGAGCTCGTTAAGCGACCAACAAAAAATTAAAGAAATGGGAATGAGCAACAAAAAACAGAAATTTCACGTCTGACACGGTGTAATTATCATAGCTCCTCCACCTCCTGTACACCCGCTACTCAAATCCCATCTTCATTACTCCCACTACACTGGGAAAAATAAAAAATATTTAAAATAAATAAGTCCAAGATATTGTATACTAACATTTTACTATTGTTTTTTGAGAATTAATACTTTTTAAATGAGATCTATTAAAATTACTAACTAGGTAAAAATATTTTTTATATAAGCGGCTCATGTTTCTAAAAAAAAAATCGTATCCTACAAAACTTGGTTAGAAAGGATTTCAAATCGATTACTTAGTTCCCATCATAAAGTTAGCTTATATAAAAGTCAATTTTTTTTATTATTTATATAAACAATTATTTTAATGGACTGTTTAAGGCCATCAGTGTACGCCCATCTCCACCCCCCACAACTTGATCGTCATCGCCATCGTCTCGACTCAAGTCTTTGATTATTTTGGGCGTCAGCGGAGCGTAACGCGCTTGTCACGCCTATTATATATGTAGAGTCGACATTTCCAAGCGGAGGGGTTATAGGAGAGGCATCTGAACCCGGGATTCGATCCCAACTGACCCGTGAGTGCGACGGTGGCGAAATGGAAACAAAGCAAACACAACGGCAGAAATACGCGCCTTGGCCTGCAACTGAATTAATTTCCGAGCTCTCTGCTCCGCTGCACACGCTTTTTGTTTTGGGTCGGGGGATGGCAGGGGCCTACCCGAGATATATGTATATTCCCGCTTGGAGGTGGGGATCTTCCAATTCCTGACACTGACGAGAGCAAATTCAAATTTTTCGCTTGTTTTTTGCGCCCAGTTGGAGCCGCAGAGAGCTGGCCAAAAGCTCTGGCCAAGCCATGCATATTTCCGGCCAGCCGAGAGCTCTGATCTGATCACCGGATCCACCGAAACCCACTCAGGAAGCCAGTAGTCAGTACAGAACCTTTCCAGAAAACTGAGCACCGTTCCCGTTTCGCTGATTTCCTGCCGTTCGCAACATTTCAGGTATTTTGCAATGTAATTAGTTCGGAAGTTCCAGCACCGGCACTGCGATTGAGTCGAGAATGGTTATGGGAATGGGGATCGGGCCTGGAACTTTGGAGACCCAGCTGGGAGCTGGGAGCTGCTGCTGCTGCATAGTCGGGATGCCGCCGACAGTTGAAAGATGCCGCCGCCAAAGAGTCGCGGTTGCATGTACCACCCAATTCCCCCTCGACCCACTTTATGTCTTTGAGTATTTGTACACATGTAACTAGCGACGCAGTCAACTCACATTGTTCTGGGACATAGAACAACTAACAACTAACAATTACCCATTAGGTTGTGCTACTTGACTCCATTATTTCTGTTCAATTTATCAACATATAATAGGTTCATATAGTTTTTAAGATATTTTAAAGTTTGGTGTTTCGAATTAGTAACTATAGTCAGAATCCATTAAAGAAATATTAGCATCTCTGTTTTCAAATTTTATATCTTTCGATTAAGGTTTTGTGATCCAGTCCAGTCAGTCAAAAATCAGGCAACTTGGCAATTTTCATGCTTTTGAAACAGATTTAAAAATTTAACTAAATAAAAGAAGTACAATTCTTAGAAAAAACAAAGTATTATAAGCAGACATCGGATTTAAGGTGAAATCGTTTTTAATTAATTTGATTTAAAGCCACATTTGATTGGTTAAAATGTTTTTACAAAAACCTCAATTCAGTTTTGCCTAAATCTAATTATAACTTCATAAATAAAATTCGTAACCAATCAAATGTGGCTTTAAATCATATTTAAAAAAAACGATTTCACCTAAAATCCGATTTCTAATTATAATTATAAGGATCCTAACTTACTTAAAATACTCAATAATTCTATGAATAATTTTCTACCATAAAAATAAGGGGTATCAAAATGGATATAGTACCCATAGTTCTATTGAACGAGAGACAGTGGGTTGCCTTTGGGGGTCTTATCAAGTGGGCTGTTGAGCAAATACGGCGGCAAACACTTTGACCTTTGTAGAATCCACAGAAGCCGCCGCAGAAGCCAAACATGCGGAGAGCACCGGCTACGTCATGTTCCACATACTTTCACTTACGAATCGGCAGAAACAAAATAGAAACCACAATCGCAATCAACACGAAACGTGATCGTGAGTGGGGGGCAATAGAAAGAGATCGTGTGTCCATAAACGTGACATAAACAAAATAACAACTTCATTTGTCATAAGACTAGGAATTGAGGGGGTAGGCTCTTCAGGAGTAGTGTTAAATGGGGAGATCGGCAAACAAGCGTGCCCGAATGTTGTTTGAACTTCGTTTGTGGAGCAAGTCACTCTTCAACCCAGAACGAGAACGATAAATTTTTCTGATTGTGGGGCTGTTGTTACTGCGCTCGAGAGACTACATACGATCAGAATGCATAGTAAATTAAGTGGGCGACAGATACGCGAGCAGGCACAACAATACGATACCAAAAGAATACGATCGCGAAGGAAAAACATCTGTAGGTTGTGTTCGTATCTCAAAGATAGAGATATCGGGACAGAGTTGCGGGGGAGTGACCCGACTGGCCCCGTACTACGCTTTTCAGATCGTACGTACACAAACCAAAAACAGCAAATTCCAAATACCCGTTTTTGGCCTAAAAACCTACAAAGCCAACAAACAACAAGTTGCTCAACCGCCGAGAATAAAGTTCCACGAATTCGTGGATGCCCTACGGAAAGACTAAGCTTAACTTGAAACTGTTCTGGTTTTATGGTAGGAAATTACAAGTATTTAGGGTTAAAGGCTTATGTAACAGATTTATAGTCTCATATTTTTCTCCAGAAAAGCTACCAAATTAGGTCAACTCCCATTGAATTGCGTAACATACTTATTTTAATGATGAACTGTATGGTTTCTTTAAAAATATATATCTAAAAAATATTATTTATGACTATTATTTATTTTTTTTTAAATGAAATAGATATCATTTAAAAATATTCTTCATAAATAGATACACAATAAGTGGTTCCAGAAAAGACCGTTTTCGTTCTTTATTTCATGTAATCTAAGGGCTGAAAGCATTATTTCATTATCAAGCCCCCACTCAAGTATTTATCTTTATTACTACATCATCATTACGGCTTACAGACAATTTGAATATTACAAAAGGGGATTATTGAATGAGGTCAAGAACCCGCTGGGACATCGGAGTTTCGCTATCTTATCTATCGGTTGCATTAACCGCAGTTGCAAACGTTGCGACATGGTTCAAATAAATTCCCCTTGAGAGGGAGACCCAAAATCCATAATACCCTACACTCGATCGGTGGCGTATACACTGCGTCATTTGTGATGATTGAAAAAAAAAAGGAAAACGAAGGAGGGGGTGGTGATCGAGGGGCGATTCCAACACGCTCACTCTCTGACATCGCGTTATTTGTGTGTTCGATGAACCGAAATTCGAAATTCGGTATGTGTCTGACCCACTTTCCCACAAAATTTACGCACTTTATGGCAAATGGAATCCACACAAGAGTGTTAGAAAGAGCATGGAATAGAGAAGTGGAAAGAGAAGGGGAGACCAATTTAGAAAGAGACGGAGAGTGAGCGAACAGTCGGCAAACTTGGCCATTTAATAATTGAGGTCGACTACAGTCGATCGTAAAAGAATATTGATTTGTGGGTTTCACTCGTTACTGTATTTTATTTTTATTTTTTTGCTGCTGTAATTTAGTGTTTTTTTTTTGCTCCTGCAGGGAGAAAAAATCTTGACATAATAAGTTATTTCTTTAAAAAAGTCGTTGTCTAGCTTTCGATCATTTTCCACTTTAAAAATAATTATTAATTCTTGTAAAATGGAAAAAACCTTTTTAATACCATCTTTTTGAAACTTAAGTTTATTATGAAGAACTCGAACCTAATATAAAGCAATTCCAACATTTTTTATTTAACATTGGAATTCGATTATTTTTGGATTTTGTTTTGGAAAAAATAAAAAATATTCTTCTCATTTGTTTGATTTTTTCTCAGTGTGCTTTCCCATTTGTTGTCGTTGTTTAGTGTTTTTTCAAGCTTCGTGTTTCTCTTATTCTTTCGTGTAATTTACGCAACGTTCGCTCGTTTGTCGTTGTCTCTCGGCTACTTGTCTTTGCATTGAGTCGAGAGCAACAACACAGCAGCAGCAACAACACAGCAGCAGCAGCAACAACAGCACGAGATCAACAACATCTGCAGCAGCGCTGCTCGCCAGGCAGTTGTTGAACTTTTTTGCTTTTTTTGCAGCTCCCAAATCTGAAATCACAAACCAGTTTTGAGACCTGGGCTTGCCACACGTCTCGGCCAAATCAAAAAGCTGGCCAAAGCCAAACGAAAACTTGACGTACATCGCCCCCTCTCACTCTGCCGCGATGATGTTGCTGCTGTGCCGATGTTGCTGCTGCTGCTGTAGCTGTTGCTGCTGCTGCTGCCGCTGTTGTTGTTGATCTTTGTGGACTGTACTTTTTTGTTGTTTGTGTGTTTGAGAGGCAAAAGTTGCTGCTGCCCGGAGGGGGAGTGTTGATTGAAATCGATCTGTGGCAGAGCAACATGCAACATGCAATATGCAATGTGCAACATGCAGCATTAGTCACTCAGCCAGCCAGCCAGTCGGATTTGACCTTGTTGCAGTGCAACGGCAGCAATCTGTTGCAGCTGCGGATATCTATAATTTGGCTGGGCTTTAAACTGATCTGCTGGCCGTGTAATTAATCGCGCAGCCAACATGCTGCAGCATCCTAGGCCCCCGGGAAACCCCCTTTTCCTAAGAGCTTCTTTCGTCCCCCCTTTGCCACGCCTAGTGCTTGTCGTTTTTGAAAACGAGCGCATAAATGACGCTTTCCTGTGTACTTAAGGTGTCTAAACTTGACTACCGTGCGGAGTTGTCTGTCCCCTGTTCTCCCCTCCCCGCACACCTGTAGCTATACCCAATACCTATATCCATACCGAAACCCAGAACCATTCCCATTCCAAAACTCAAAATCATCCGCAACCTTGCCCAAGACAACAACTCCTGTTGCTGTTGCTGCTTCTGCTGCTGTCGATGACCATTATTTTAGCTGACGGCGATATATTTGCTCAGCTTCAGCTCGCACAGGGGCAGTGGCACCGGGGAACTCGCATCTGTGCGTCTGTCCGAGTTCGTGCACTCGAAATTTTTTTTTCGGAAATCATTTATCTGTGATTTGGTAAGATTCAATGATTTTTAGTACAGATTTTTGCTCCTTACAACATATTTTTCACAATAAATTTAAAAAAAAATTGGATTTTATTATTTTATTAACCCATTTTTTACCAAGGAAATATTTACACTGACACATATTTTATTGAATATCAAGAATTCTTTTTAGCAACTTTATTTCAGTCTAAAAATTTCCATTAAATTATCTGTATATAAAATAATAACCAATTATATCTGATTAACCTACCTTCTATAAGTATTATTGTCCCATAAACTTATTCACGTTTTTAATGTTTTAAATGTTTTGAATAATACATTGTAGGACAACACTCACCGGTTTAACAAGCTTAAAGCATATACAACCTTGTTCTCAATTCCCCATCAAACGATTTATTCGCATCGTGCAATAACACTTTCGAAGACATATGTATTTTATGAGATTAAAAATCGAGAACAAGGCTAATTGTCATTTAAATGCAAATCACTTGTCAGTTGAGAGCTAAAAAGGGGAATGAATATAAAGTAAATTAAACTAACATGGTTTCATTTTTATGCATACTAACTATTAAACTATATATATTTCTTGCAGTGCGGATCCATGGGTCCATTGCTGTTTTCTTTGGGGTGTTGGCTACCGTCGGACGGATCGTGGGGCCTTTGCAGATGGGGCTTTTTGTTTTTGCTGTACCGCCAGTGCGGCACTGTGGCACTTCGGCACTGATGCCCAGATGTACAGCCACTGAGCGGAGCATGACAAACAGTTGCAGCCAAAGCAAATAATTAGTATACATCGATTATCTTGCGCCCAGGTCCGATCCCAAACCAACCTGGCCCGTGGCTACTGTGCAGAGCTTTAGCTATAGATTCTGCCTGGGTTCTGTTCTTGATCTGTGGAACTGTGTCTGTCGATATGGCTGCAAACTGGATCCGTCTCCAGATGTTGGCACGTTGCACACGCGCTCTCCCAGCATCCAACTTCCAACTTCTTAACTGGGCGTGTGTCGAGCGCCTACGCGCCCCCAAAACAGCCCACAAAACGGGTTCCCCTTCGCAGTTCGCAGTTCGCGATTCTCGGCAGCGGATTCGAAATCGCATTCGCCATATGTGTGCTCGTAAAATGCTCAGCCAGAAACTGTACGCCAACCCAACCAGATCTCGGGCTATGCCCCCATCTCCATCCTCATCCTCATCCGAAGACCCAATCTCCGACTCCATTCCCAACTCCAACTCCCAACTCGAGACGTGTGCTCAGCTCGTGCCAATTTCTTTGGGGCCTCGAACTTTTACAGTCGCCTGCGAATCGTTTTGTCTTTACTTGGTTTCTGCATATAAATACGAATATTCACATACAAATAAACAAGGTATATACTTGGGTACAATAGGGTGGGTCGATATAGTGCAAGCAATATTTGCCTAGTATATGGGGATCTATCTTTCTATGATACCAAGTTAGAACAGAAACAACTACTGATTTCTTTTTAGGTAAAAAATTGTACTGGTAAATATAAAAAAATTATAAAATTCAACTTTTATAAGATAGAAATTTAAAATCCCCTTCTATAAAATAGTCTAAAATTTAAAAGATTGATAAAAATTACTTTGATTTTATTTATTTCCTCATTCAAAATGATCCACCTTAATACGCAAATATAAAAGTTGTGTGTGTGTGTGTACTTAGATGGCAGCGCGTCTAGAAAAGGTTGGGCAGCAATTGCATTAATGTGCCATTTTTAATTAGCTCCATGAATAAAATTGACAACCCACTGGGACCTGAAAAGAGCGATGGATAAGGGGATTGAGCAGCGATCTACGTGCTTTTCCAGTTCGAAACGCAATAAAGTCAATTTTAGCTGTGCATTCCGCAGATGGAAAATTCCAATGCATTTCGTGACGGCACCTTGATTGAATATGACCTAAATCGATCGATGTGGAAGCCCAGTAATTGGCTTCCTAGCAGCCTAGTCGGGGCAATTATGAAAATAAACAACAAATTGGTGTGATAAATTCCAAAAAGAATTGATAAGATACGATCAACTTTCACAGCTCATTATCGTCTTGGATTTTTGTTAAATTGAGCTGTAAACTTGTTAAATCAGGAAAAGATCTCAGGTATCATAAAAAAAAGATTTTTAAAATAACTATTTCTTTTTAAAATGAATTATCCACTAACAAATACAAATTAATAACTTTAAATCTCTTAAACAATTTTTAACCAGAAAAAACCCAGCAATAAATCCAAATGTATGATTGCATAACTGTTCTTCGCACGCGTAATTTTTCCACATTTTGGGACCCAGAAATTCAAAATCTTCTTTTTTCTGCCTACCATGACTGTTCTTCCGTTGAAACATTCATGACCAGATGTAGTCCCATGTAGATCAGATTAGATAACAGGCCCGGCGGCTGCCTCAAGCTCTTATATCATCGAGCGAAAAAGGCTTATATCATCGAGCTGCCAACTCGAAGCCCTTTGCCTGATTGAGCAATAAATAAATTAGAACTAATTACGCCCATTGTCGATCAGTAAAAAGGGTTTTTGTTAGCTTTAGCGGCAGTTCTTTGGTTTTCGCCACTCAATTTGGGCGGAATTATAGCAATCAACTGGCCAGTAGTTACATTTTAGCAATTCTCGATGGGTTTCCGGGGCCCAAGAGCAAAAGCTTTTAGGGCTAATGGGTCTTCGTTCCCTGCTGATTTCCAAGTTGCTACCGGTTGCCGCTCCGATTCTTTAACTCTTGATTGAAATCGAGGCTTTCATCGGCATAATCATCGTAATGATGATGAGATTTCCTCCATCCGTTCTCGTAGCTGTACTTTTTGGCCAGAATGGGTTTGGGCATGGGTACGATGGGTATGGGTATGGGTTGTTGGCCAAAAGCAAGCACCGCTACCTGCACTCAGGCAGGGAGCTTCACTCCCAAGTTCGGGAACTGGCTGATTCTTTTTCTTTTGTCTAGTGAAATGTTGAAAGCATCATTAATTTTTTTTCGTCTCTCTTGATTCCGACTTTATGCCTTTAGCTTTGCCTGGCACATAGTTGCAGGTAAGTATGATAATTGCGGAATGAAAGGAGAGAGAGAAAGATTGAGTGAAAAAAAGTGACCCATAATTACCCAAGGCAGCAGAACAATCATGGGAAAACCGACTGTAACTCGGCTCGGTCTCATACCACCACACCACCCCGTCTCCACCTCCACAGCCCCCTTTCTCTGTCCCTCGGCTGTGTCTCTTATGAAGTACAATTATTTGAGCAATGCTATGTTTTATGATTATCTTGCCGTTTACACAACACGCACAACAAAAATGGAGGAGGGTAACTAAAGTCAAGCCATATTTTTGGTCACCGTTTTGCGACTGGGAGATACCCATATAACTTTTTAATGTCATAAGCAAGATATTCATTTTGAAGAAAGGTATTTGAACTAACCAAGATAATAGTAAATTATTTTAAAAAAATACATTAATAGATTTTAAAGTACCTATATAAAAATGAGCTATTTAATTACCAAATAATTTTGGAATAATTGTCATAACACATACCTTTTAAAAAAAAAAAATTAGAAATTAATAGATTTAATTAGATTATTATATAGTTATCTCCTTTTAATATTTTTACGTTATTGTACAATGCAATATTTCTTACTAAAATGTCTCTAAGTTTCCAGCCAACTCTGTTAAATATTGGGTATACAGGGGCACCCCAGAGTTCCAGTAAAAAAGAGCAGAATCTCAGCAGGAGCAGGAGCAGAACCGATCGGGTCATTATTCCGGGGCCCAGCTTCACTGCCAAGATAATAGTGTTCATCCCATCTTGGGTCTCTGCTCTCGGGGCAATTTGATTTTTTATTATCGCCGCCGTTCGCCGGCCCTTTGTCCCTGTTTTTTAGTGAACCTGACCATCCAAAGAACAAGTGCAGTGGCAAGTGCACCTTTATGGGTTTTTCAGTTTTGAGGACCGGCTTTTTGTACCCTAACCTATGCTAATTAGAGCGACGGCCTCGGCCTTGTTTTTATGCGCCTTTTAGCGTGAACTGTCCGCTGATAGTCCCCCCTCGGACCCTCCATCACCGGAGTGCTGCATAAATTTTCTGCTTGACGTCAGCATGAATGTTTAATTAATGCCGCGACCAAGTTTCATGGGAAAAGTTGCAGCGGAACAAACGGTTAGGCGGAAATTGGGAATTGGGCCCTGCAACTGCCGATTTGAGCAGGGGTTTTTGCTGTAAAATTCCGTTCTTTATTCATTGTTGTATTTGCGTGCAACCGCAGGACAGGTGGGCCACTTGGATCGTAAGGCTTTGGACAGGTGTATCGTATCGCAAGGTTGTTAGGAGGGTGCAGTACCGCAACCAATGCGTGACGCTGAATCAAATTTGCTGCGACTGCATGCCGTACTGTACCAGAAAGGTCAGATAGGTGACCATTGCCGAGAGAAAGAACAGAGTCAGCTCGTTGGAGACCTCGAAAAGGCCCAGAGGACACACTTGCAACTCCTGGTGGTGAAGGCGGCCCAGGAAGAGCTCCAACTGAAAGGATAAAATTAATAAATACCATTAAAAATATAATAAAATTACAAAAAAAATTAAAAAAAAATATTTTTTAGATTTTTTATTTGTTAAAATTTATTGTGGATTTGAAAAGCTAATTTATATACTAACCAAATTGTGTGTTTTTAGTGAGTTTATAGTGTTTATAGAGACAAAGGTGCGTTTCTACAAATTTCTTTTTTCAAATATTAATTTTTTTTGTTTTATTTTCAAATTGGAATACAAAATAAAATTTTTCTTTAATTTTCAAGTAGTTTTACCACTAATCCAAAAGTGGTAACTATAAGTTAACGTTAGATAATTATATAATTATTATTAAATAAAAAAAATAATTATACATTTAATATACATTTAATATTACCTTTTGGTGGTGCCTATTGTTTTCAGTCACGTAGAAATTCTCCAGACTTAGACGCTTCACCAATCGAGAACCACTAACAGCCGAATGCACGGACATGGTCAGCAGCACCACATCTATGAGTAATTTGATAACCAAGCCCCAGAGGTTGAAGACGTATTTCCTCCGCAGAATGGCGTGATAGGAAACCATGGCCATGGCCAAAAGACTTTGTGCCAATGTGAGAAAAAGTGGCAGATTAAACAGCCGCTGGAATCTTTGTGACACCTGATGAATTTCCTCGTAAATTCTTAAACACTTGTTCAAATTCGAGAAGGCTTCGCGAGTGGGCTGGGTATTCGAACCAATGTCATCTTCATTCAGACAACTCAATTGTGCCCTCAACTGGCAGTCCACATAGTTGTTCAAGTCCTTGTAAAGGACACCAATGCTGAGGTAGCCAAGAAAGCACATATGCATTATCATTCCAGTGCCAATCGAGGTGTATAAATCACACAATATAGTGAGCAGAAACCAGGGTGAGAACATAAACCGAAAAGCCAAGAATACGAAAAGTAGGGAGACAACTTTCAGGGACAACAAAGCGAACTCATTCTTGTCACCGAATCCAATCCTATGGGAATTTGTCAGCTTTCGCAGTCGCCAAAAACCAGAAACCGATTGACCAGGATAAGTAGCTCCTCTCCAAACCAAAACTGCAGCACCAGGATAATGACACTGCAGAGCAGACATCCCAACAGCCGGAGAGCAAAAAAGGCACGAAGATAGAAATCGGTATATTGGTCTGCCCATATATCGTAGGTATAGCCATAAAAAACACTGGTCAAAAGTCGGATACCCAGGCAGATCCACAAGTTACCCCGGAGCTTAATGGCAACCAGACGGGAGTCGAGGTCCTTTTTCCTCTCAATTCTAAAGGTAATCACTCCGAAAATAGTGCCGTAGAAAATGCAACTGCGAAGCAACAGTCCAGATACCCTGGAAACGTTCAGGCAGCGCAGTATTCGCGCCATGACTAACAGACCTCAAATGGTAGAGCCGCACTGTATTAACCCATTAAGTAATTAGTTTTCCGATTGACTGAGCAGCCAGTCTCTTGTTGATTCCTATCTGGATTTGGTTTTCAATTTAGCTAATGACAACGCAACTAGTCTATTTAATTGTTTAGCAGTGCGTATTGCTGATAAATGATGTGGGATAAATGTATTTTAGTTATTGGTTAATATCAATAAACACAATTCACAATAGATTTGTTTGAATGCCGTACTGCACGACGTAAGTGAAATAGGTGATCATGCTGGACAAGAAGAGCAAGATCACTTCGTTGGAGACCTCAAACAATCCCAAGGGCCTTACGCGAAACTCGAAGAAGTTCAGGCGACTCAAGAACATTTCCCACTGAAAAAGAGGCAATAATAAGTATTATTTGAATCATCATAATATAGAGCTTAAAAATATTGACTTTATCGATAATTTCGATATTTTTCAAAATGTTTCGATAAAAATAATTATAATAAATTAAATTTTTCTTCTTGTTCTTGAAAACGATGTTACAATGAAAATATCGACATTTTTTTAAGCTCTACCATTATAACCATAGATAACTCACCTTGACATGCCACTCCTTGTGATCGCTAATGGGACAGTTTTCCAAACTCAGACGTCGAATCACCCGGGAACTGCTAACCGCCTCGTGAACCGCCAGGGTGAGAAGTATTACGTCTGCGAAACTTTTCACCACCAGGCCCCACATACCGACTTTGCTGGGATACAACTCAGCTCGAATGATCACCTCGTAGGACAAAACGGTCGTGGCGAATATCTTTCCAATAAGAATTATGAGAACGGGCAGTTCCAAGAGGCGATGAAACGAGCGGCCCACGCGTTCGATTTCGTCGTAAACCGATATACACTCATCCAGGCGATTTTCGACAATCCTAAGCTGCCGTCGACTTACAGGACCTCCGCCAGGACGCTCCAGAGACCTTAGCTGTCTTCTTAGCTCAGAACGCACAAATCTATTTGCCTCGGAATAAAGAGCGGCTACACTGAGGTATCCAAAGAAGCCAATATGTATAATCATCAGGGAACCTATTTCGAGGATTATTTCACACGCTATCGTGAAGAAACTTAACCAGTCGGGTAGATTCCACAGCTGGCCCAACTCGCAGTACAATTCGTAGACCAAACAGGTGAATTTGAAAGTGAGCAAAAAGAACTCCCGTTTGCCGCCGAATCCAATCCGTTTTAAGGACGACAAACGACGAAGACGACGAAATAGCCGCAGGAAACTGTTGACCAACAGGAGCAGCTCCTTATCATAGCCAATCTGAACCACCACAATGCAGGCGGCACAAATGAGGCTGGCCGAAAGACGGAGGCATTGCAGCATCCACTCGTAAGGATCCTCGATTTCCGCCACGTAAGGAGCACAGAAACAGCAAACTGATGTGGCGCTTATTAGTCGCACACTCAGGCAGAACCACTTGAATCGATGCTGATTGCGAGCCACCAAGGACTTGTCGGAGGTCCTTTGTCCAATGTCAAAACAAATCACTCCAAGGATCCGTGCATAGTGATAACTGCAAAACAGGATAACCGCCGAAAGAGCCGGCAGGCTTACCTTCCTGAGACGTTCAATCATGACTGAAAACTATTCCTATTCGAATGACCAGTATATATGGCTCGGTGATTTCCTCACCTTATTTATTTTCCTTGTAGGCACTTTCTGTTTATTTACTTTACATGTTGTGATTTTCCTTAAATCGATTATGTTAATGCACACAAAAAAATTTGCTTGGTAAAATTGACAAACAAAGATAGTTACGTAACTATTAAAATAGTTACGTGTATTTTGTTTTTGCTTTGGGTTTGTGTCTTTGCTAATTGTGTGTATTTTGTTGTTGTGAAATGACTATTTACTTAGTAGAATTGACAATTTTGCTGGTTGGGGCCTGTTTGACAATTATTACAGTTGATTTTACCAAGTTTTTTTTTTGTGTGCGCGAATCTGGATTACATATTGCACGATAAAAACCAGATAAGAAACTATACCCGATACAATGGCAAGGAATAGGTGATTGGAAACATCAAAAAGTCCCAAAAGACGAACCCTAAACTCGTTTAAGTTCAGATGGGTGACAAACATCTCCACCTTATAACAAAATAAATCAATTATAAGCACGAAAGAATAAATAATTAATAAATTTACTTACCAATTTGATCCAATCTTTAGACTTGCCGACAAAGAAAATATCCAGTACGAGTTCCCGAGTGTATCTAATCTGATTGCTTGCTCCTTGAATAGCCAAGGTTAGAATGAACACATCGATTATATTTTTAACAAATAAGATCCAAAGCCAAATTTCGGAGAACTTCCTATTGGTAATCATTTTATAAGAAATCACGACTATATACAAAAGTGTCTGGACTACGTTTAAAAATAGATGTACATTTAAAATATCTTGCAGAAGAATAACCACATAAGAAATCTCTTGAAAAATCGTCAATTTTTTCTTTAATCTCCTGGTCCTATTTATCTGGAATCTAAATTTATAAAATTGAGCTCTTAAGTCGAAATAGACATTTTCATTCAAGTTCGTATACAGTACACCCAAGCTAAGGTACCAAATGAAACTTATTCGCAAGATCGTGTTACTAACAATAACTACATATGTGTAACTTGCCCACCCAATCACATTTTTTACACTGATTTTCCACTTTAATATACCCAGCAAGAACACAATTTCTTGGACTTGACAAACTAAGGAAAGAATGATTAGGAATAATTCTCGTTTGCCCCCAAATCTCCCAATTTTTCCAAAGTTCTGTATTTTTTCCTTGCGAAAGATTTTAAGATATCGGTTGACCAACTTAGTCACTTCTCTTCCATGAAAAATCTTCACGTAAATCATCGACATATAGCAGGGAATCGAAAGTATAAGGCGAATCGAGTTCAGTACTTTATCAATTGTCATTTCTCTGTCCCAAATCCACGCACCGTATGTATAAACGTATATGCAGAGAGGCACCATTCGTAAAATGACCATGAACCAATTCCACCACGAACGACGATTACTCCAAGTTTCCTCCACGACCATAACATTATCCGACGACTTTCTGAATCGAAAGGAGAACAAGCCCAGGCATCTGGCGTATAAAAACATGGCGCGAAGAATTCCGGAGGATAATTTTGAAGCTTTCATCTCCCGAAAATCTAGCTGGACTTGTTTGCGCTGAACCCCGATCGAAAGTGAAAAATATTCGGTCACATTAAAGTCCCTCTAAGTGAATTACCTTAATAGCTACTTGGCTTCTGATAATATCTCTTTTTTGGATTGACAAGCGGGGGTGGAAATGTCTGTGACATGTTGATAAAACTATATAAATGAAGCAGTGGAGTATCGAGAAAATGATAAAATATTCCCATATTATCAATAAATAGAAATGAAAGCTTTCACGAACGGAACTAGTTTGGGATAATATTTTGGTTTATTAAAGAATTAAAATAGTTAGAGTGCGGACAATGCAATAATTTAGTATGATGTAACTAAAAATACAATAAATATAATATTAATAAATACATACTAGTTCTGCTTTAATTTAATTACAGATTGAATAATAAAAATCAGATAACTATTTATTCCCGAGAATATTACAAGAAAAAAGTCGTTAGAGACATTAAAGAGGCCCAACGGTCGGACCTTAAACTCGTTTAAGATTAGATGTGTGACAAATATTTCAATCTATGGGAAAGAAAGTTGTATAATTTGTAACACAATTTATAAAAGATATAAACTCACAGTTTTGTTCCAGTTCTTTAGCTCTTCTATAAAGAACAGGTCTAGAGTAAGTTGGCGAATGCATCTGAACTGAGTGCCTGCTTCGTGAATAACCAAACATAATGTAAGAACATCGAGTAAAATTTTAATTATAATAGAAGACAACCAAAAGTCTACTAAATCTAAATGAACAACCATATTATAAGAGAGAACTACTATGTACAAAAGTGTATGGACCAGGCTCAATAATAGGTAAATATTACAAATATTCTGCCATGAAGTTACTACATAAGAAATCTCCCTAAGCAGAGAAATTGATCTCTTCAATCGTTTGGTAATGTTTGTTTTTCGCCCTTTATCTTGGACTTGGAAACTGATTTTTTTCCTCAGATCCATATAGAGAATATTCAAGCCAAGGTACCAAAAGAGGTTGGTACGTATCATCATATTACTGGCCAAACTGACATACGTAAAGGCAGCCCAGGTCATTATATTATAAAGAATACGATCGGAATTAAGGACCCAATCTAATAGTCCAAACAGAAACACAATTTCTTGAATTAAACAGCCCAATGAAACGAGAATGATAAATAATTCCCATCTGCCTCCAAATCCTGTGGGTTTTCTGATTACTCGCCGAAATAGGTAAATGTAGTCGTTGACCAACTTAATCAACTCTTCGCCATGAAATATCTGAAGGTGAATCAAGGATAAATAGCTGCCGATCGTTATTAAAAGACGAGAGAAGTGCAGTACTACAATCACCCACTCCGAATGCAATAACCAAACGCAGTATGTAAAAACATTGATAAAAATCGGCACAACTCGCAGGATTATTGTGAACCACTTCCACCACAAACGATTGCTCCAGATATCCTCGATGATCAGATAATTATCCTTTGAAGTCTTCAACCGAAAAAAGACCAATCCCATCCATTTGGCAATGACAAACAAGCCACGCAGAATTCCAGCGGATACTTTGGGTACTCTCATCCCGAAAAATTTACTCGACTTGTTTCTTTTTAACTTCAATTGGAATAGAAAAGTACTAAAATGAAATTTAGTTAGCTAATGGAAAGTTAACCCCTAAAAATATCTCGGGTTTCATCGGGACGGGAAATACATCACATGTCAAACTGATTGTACTGTATGCCCTGAATATAAGTAAAAAACTCCTAGAAACAATTACTTAAATATTTCTATAGATGATATTGTAATCGAATTACAGAATTAATTTTCGATTATTAATAAAAGATAAAACATTATAATGTATTTATATTTGCCACGAACTTAAAATAATACCATTGCAAATACAGAAAGATATTTATACATTTTTTATAAGTTTACTAATTTAAAATTTTTTGTAACATTAGTAATACTCTACAACTGCAAATTACGTTCTTGCATTACAAATTGTACGATAAAAACGAGATAATTAAGTATTCCAGATAAAGTTATGAGGAAAAACTTGTTTGATATATCGAAAAGCTTCAAAGGACGAACCTTAAACTGGTTTAGGTTTAGATGCGTAACGAATATTTCCACCTAGGGGCAGTACAAAAATGTCATTAGTGGTATTACAGTAATATGTTTTCTTACCGTTTTGTTCCAATGGTTCTGCTCAGAGACAAAGAAAAGGTCTAGAGAAAGCTCCTGAATGTATCTAAACTGATTAATTGACTCTTGAATAGTCAAAATTAGTATAAGGATTTCGGTAATCAATTTTATTAAATGAAACCACTGAGAAAATTTCCAAAACTGCAAAGTGGCAACCATTACGTAAGAGATCACGACTACAAAATATACTTTGTGAACCAGGCTTAAAAATAGGTAAACATTAGTAATGCCCCGTAATGAAGCGACCACACAACTTATCTCGCTGAAAATAGACATAATGCATTCTAATCTTCGTTGAGAATGTTTTGGTCTGGGATACTGAAGCTCAAAACACATGCATTTTTGCACCTCTGTGTACAAAACACCCAAGCTTAGGTACCAAACAAAAATGATGCGTATTAGCATATTACTTGCGAAAACTGAATAGGAAAAGCATCCCCAGGATACGATTTCTCCAACTTGTTGGGCCAAAGGTACAAAACTCAAGAGATATAATACCTCCTGAGATTGGAAACCAAAAAATATGATGATCAGCAGTAACTCTCTACCGCCTCCAAATCCAGTACTTTCACTGAAGGTCAAGGACTTTATTTTGCGATATAGGTTAGCGTATTGGTTCAGCAACTTAATCACCTCTGTGCCACGAAAAATATGTAGGTTGTCCATTGATAAGTAGTTCAGTATCGTAACCACCACTTGTGTAATCTTTATAATTTTGACTAATCTGTCTTCCTTTCCAATCCACAAGGAGAACGTATAGATGCTAAGACAAAGAGGCACAATTCGCAGGATAACTGACAACCACTTTCGCCTTGGACGATTCCAGCCGCTTTCCTCGAAGACGACAACATTATCTTTCGAGTTCTTAAATCGAAAGAAAACCAAACCCAAACATCTGGCGAAAAAAAATGCTCCACGTAAAATAGTGGCTGATATTTTGGGTACTCTCATGTTGTCCAATGTAGATAGAACTTAACCGCTTGGCTTTAAATTTCAATTAAAATGGATTTGCAATGAATGCAGTTATAGGCGACTTAACTCTTGAAACGATCTTTGTTTTCTTTGTCAGTGACAAGTGAGGGTGGAATTTATCAGGGATTGACTGTCAAAATTTTATTGCTTTACAAGGTCCCTTGGGTTAGACAATCGGATTTCCCCGTTTTAATTAAATTTGTTCAACAAAAATTAGTGGTATTTTTGAGTTACAATTTTCCTTTCATTTCCCAGTCTTGGAAATTCGTCTGGACTTATTCCAGTCAGATTCTCGACATCTCAATAACAAGGCAACACGTTCCCATTTTAAGATCACGTTTCTGAGATCTACGAGTACGTATATTTTAGGCTTCCCCTTTTCGAAGACCCTTACTGCAAGTTGGCCTGCTCATCTCATACTTTTGCTTTTGATTCACACGCTCACGATCCGAGGCGATGGGATGCGATCCTGGCTCTAAGCTCGCTCTCCTCTAAAAGGCAATGTAAATGACGCCCCCATTTCATGCTGTACGTGATCTTCCCATACAATATCTTCTGCGCAACATCTTCACTGTCCTATCCGAAAACTGGGAAACGATTACAGCGCCCAGCGATTTGCGTCCGCATCTGAGAGATCTTTCGAGTCTGTCAAGCAGGGAATCCCCCCTCGAGCTGCCCCCACCCACGCTTCCCCTCTGGGATTTCGCCTTTGTCTGACATTTGAAAAGAATTTTCACGTTGTATGATTTATTTTTTCCCTCATCTTCTTTATTTTCTGTACGCTTTGGTTTCGTTTTTTCTTTATTTCTTTTTTTTTTTTTTTTTTGAGGGCAATTACAGTAACAACGCTTGGGCACGTACATTTTCCGGCATTGTACGAAAATTGTGGGAACAATCAACGAAATAAACAAAAGTGCTTTGCATGTCGTTGATTTGCCCTGCAAATTGCTCGGACTTGGCCAACTGAAATTGCTATGGCAACAGGGGAAACAGCATCAACAGCAGTTGGAAAAGAAGACTATCTTATCGCGACGAAGACTCGAATACCTCAAGACTGTGAGTCAGATTTTATGGAGATTTATAAATGGCAGTGAAAAAATTCAGATAAAATTTTGATTAAAATAATCGTTAGTGTTTCGTTTATATATTTAATAATTTAATTTATAAAATGTATTTGTCGAATTATAATATAACATATTAAAAGAGATTAAAAGAATTTTAGTTGGATTTTTTTTTAGCTAGTCACTTATCGTAAATCTTTGAATCTTTTTTCTATAGAACATACTTCTCTAAGAATCTTGCTGAATTATAGCATAATAATATAATCTCCCATTAGAAACCAATAAACCCCCATCTTGAAAGGGTATAGTGTATACTATGGCCAATGATCCGAGTCGAGTGGGGCCAAGGAAACGATGCGAAGCCACAAGTTGGTCAGGAGATTAGAGCAGCTCCACTGTACTCCTCATTTTTTCCCCTTTCTTGACCTCACGTCTTGCGGGATGGCCGAAGGAGGGAACGAGATGGGTGATCAGAGAGCGAGATGCATATGGGGAGTAGGGGCACTCACTTCAGGGCTGATTGATTTCAATTTCTGCTACTCACATACATACTTACTGCTGTCAGATGGCCTTGGCTCGCTTTTCACGCTTTTCCAGACATTGCACCCCACTCGACTGCAGCCGCTGACATTAATGGTGATTAATGCGAAAACGGAATGCAATTAAATTCCGCCATTTGGCCGTGCCATAAATTATTGTGATTTCGCAGCGAACAAAAAGTCAAATAAAATGTAAAATCGAGGAGGAATAGAGTAACAATGTGTTCTTACAAAAAGCGACACCCTGTTTTCGGTTTTTTTTTTCTTTTTTAATGACACTGTCTTAGCAGTACCGTTATGGCAGAAAGAGGGGGCAAATCATCGACGTTGTAAATTTTACTTTGCAGCTTTGAATTTATTGCGTGGCGAATGCGAAAAAAACGCGAATTGCGAATTGCGGCCAACGCGACTTTGCCGAGAGTACAAACACCTCTGCCAAGCTTCCCCTCCACCTCCCCTTCACCCGCTCAGGCTGAGCTCACAGTGACGGTCAAATTAATAGCACTTATCAAATCAAATTTAAATTGAGAAATACTAAGTAAGTTATTTCCATTTGTGTATTTTGATATTTTTTTTGTAAATAGAAGAACTCTTTGGCAACTTTAAATACATACATTAAAAAGTTCCGCCACTAAATGTGAATTAAATAAAATTTATATCACAAGTAATCTTACAGTCGCCAAAAGTATGCTACATATTATAATACCATTAATAATCTTTAAGCTTAGTTGTATAAAGTTTTAGTTTTGCACTACAAATAAAAAAACAATAATATTTTTTTAAATCTTGAAAAGTTTTATTTGTGGCGTGTCATTATCTTAAATTTTTGCCCCTTCAGTAAGATAGATACTTTGATAGATACAAACGAGATCTTGGCTTCTCATTGATATCACCTTGAGTGCTATTATTTCATCCAGAATTGTTCATTCGTCTGAGCTCTGTTGCGTTACGTGAATGCGTGTGTGTGTGATTGCGAATCGAGTGCAGAGCCATTAAAATCTTGAAATTGCATGCTAATAACCGTACCCGCTAGTTAAGTGGGCAAATATGTTGTACATGCTTGTTACTAAATGCAGAGCATGTAATTTGCCATTCTGCGAGCAGTGCCATTATTATAGCATATTGCATTCTTGATTCGCTCAAGAGAGCAATGCGAAATACCTGAAAAAAATAAGTCTAATGTCTAGAGGTGGAATAAATGTAAGTACAAAGAATTTGTGGAGGAAAATAACTCGTTGAAACCATATAGTATTCTCTATTCTTATCCAAAAATGTTGAAATACATTTAAATTCTTACAACAGATTATTCACAAATCTTTGGAGCAGCCTTCATTTAGTTTCTAAAATATGAACAAATGTTTCTGTAATCCGCATCCGTTTTATTTAGCGGATGGAAGAGGGGTAAATGAGGACGTGGCCAGCATCAATCATCATCAAACGACCAACGATCGTTTGTTCGCCGGAAGTCGCAGCCAATCTAATGTTAAGTGCCCACTCCACTCCACCAGCCAAATAGATATAACACACATACGCATAGCACACAAATTACGACTAGAAAGCATTTTCCGAAATGTCCGCGGGCGATATGTGTGCCCATTGAAAGGTCCCAGAGTACCCACAGTGAAGCCTCTCAAATTGCTACGGGTGATTAGCGATGAAAGCGAACAGAAGAAAATACACTAATTGGAAGAGGTTGGACTTCCTTTCCACTTCACCTTTTGATTGCATATCCAAAACCTATGCATCGAATGTAATTAAAACAGTGGGGACTCGAGAAATCAAACTAATAAAACAAATTTTTTTTTTCTGTACTGAAAATTATAGTCTAAGGAAATGGTACTGAATAAAAGACTTTAAATTTATTCGAGTCATCATTTCTTACAGGTTATAATTACGTATAGGCGCCACTTCTGACTGTTTCAAATGGTTACGATACCTTTACAATGGAGAGTTCACTGTGGGAAGGCATTAGAGCGGCCCATGTCTAATGAAGAAACTGTTGCATCCGCAGCTCGAGGCCCAAAGCTGAGTCATTCCATCTATTTTAGATCTCTATCTTTCTCCACTTGTGTGCTCCCCAAACATTTCTTTACGCTTGAGAATAATCACGCCATCTCGGCCCAAAGGGCCCCGCAAACAACCCAGCCAATATGTAGGCAAATAGAAAATAAAAAGCTTTTAAATGTTTTTTGTTTTACATTTGTATTTTTAAGAGTTTTTTTTAGTTTTTGTTTTTTTCTGATGCCCTCTTCGCTTTAGGGGTACAGTAAAAAATTTTTTTTTCAGCTTGTTTGCATAAGTTTTACAAAGTTTTTAGGGAAATATACACAGTATTTGTTGTTGTTTTGCTGGTTTTTCTCATTTAGCTGCTTGGAGTTTGGTACTACTCCATACAATATACACAGTTTGGTTGTTCAAAATAGATTTTCAAAAGGGGTCTTTAGGAGGGGAAATAATTTTGCCATAGATACGAAATATTATACATAGACAGTACATACAATTTAAAATGTCACATCGATAATGTACATACAATAAATATGAGTACAGAGTGTGGGTGTGTGTGTGTGTAGGGGGTGTGAATGAGTGAGTGTGTGAGTTTGTTTGTGGGCTAAGAAGAATTTTTAAATAATTTCAATTATAATTACATTTAGATAAACAAAATAATAAAATTGTTTTTAATGATTGAGATCATGACACAAAGTAAATTGTAAATACTTTTGGCACACGCGTGCATCAGGACCCGAAAACACGCTGAGAACGCTTGAATTTGTTTGGATTGGGGGTAAGAGTCTATATAATGGATGCATGGCGCCGCCGATCGCTTGTCTAAAATTAGCATTGCCTAATTACAATTTAATCTACTCCGTAAATCAGATGATGATTCTGCGGCTAACATTTAAAGTCTTTCGCATTTTCGCTACAATTTACGTATTGCCAATGTACAATTAGTTTTAAATTTTTACACATAAATATTTAACATAGACATATCTATAACTTAATAATTTCCATAATTATATCGATTTCGATTTCGCCATGCATCCGGATATACATATTATTATTATTATTATTAATTTTTGCCTGTTTTTGGCCATGCACGCGCGCCGATCTTTTCTGGTTTTCATTTTTGTTGTTGTTTCTGGTTGGCTTTACGCTTCATCGCCTTTCATGCAACAACATTTTGGGACCTTCAAGTCTTGGTTTAAAACAAACGTACAATCCATACACATAAGTTTCAGCGTATGGCGGGGGTACACAAAAAAATAAACAAATTACTTTAGAAATTAAAATTACTTTTACAATAAATATCATATATTGCAATTGTTGCTCCACCAGGGGCCATTCGTCATTCGCCATCGTCATTCGCCATCATCCTCCTTTGAAAGTTACTGCTCCTTATCTCTCAATTCGCTAGTACCATTATCCACATTGTTGTTGTTGTTGCTGCTGTAACTATTCTTGATGTTGGCTTTTGGAATCCCCTTGTTGGCCTTGCGAACGCGGTACATGCCTGCAAAGATAAGGAAAAAGGGGTAAAAGTTGAGTATTTGGCATTGTAAAGTAGTGAAATAAAATACTGTGACTAATCACAGTGCAAAATGGAAATGGGAAAACAAAAATAAAAGTGCCAGCGTCATTTTTGACCTTCAGAAGGCAAAAGGGAAAGCATTGCTAAGTGCAGCGAGACTAATTACCTAGGGTACCTAAGTATACTATACTACTGCATACGTGTCAGGGGGAGTGTTTTGCTCATGGGCAGCTTTCTTATCGCGCTGGAATTATGCACACTTGTGCAAGCCACGAGAGTATACCTATTTATTTTAGAGCGTAAACCTATACCTGGTCATCGGCTGGCCGATATAATAAATGTCATGGCCACAGCGATAGCTGCAATCGAAAAACTGCAGCTGTGGTGGGGTCTAGACTCGGGATTCCAGAGGGGTGGGGGTACAAAGCCACAGACTTGGGTAATCTACATATAACCGCGAACGTTCGCCTCTCGCCAAATGCGTTCGCATATTGATAGTCATAGTCAAATGGCTCATCAACCTCGTAAAATGTGGATTTTGAATTTTACGATTGCTACAAGTACAGTCGTTCTGATTCACTTAGTAGTCATTCTTTTTTGATTCAATACAAAACAATAATATTACCGTAATCGTATTTAAAACTATCTAAAGAACTTTGAGAACCCATATTTTCAACCGATTATGAAATTCGCCTGCTTAAGATCTCTAAAGATATGTTAAGTTTGATTTCACAATATAATGTAAAAGTAAAATTGTTCAGAAGTAAAATCAATTTCAAAACTAATTGGGCTTCGATTGGAATATTTTATGTATTTCCAATAAATTTTAGACAACACAAATAATATTACAGACTAGCTTAAAAAATAAAATTTCAGTTTCAAGTTAGAGCAGTATGACTGTACTTCTATCAAGCCTCGATCGCTGGCAGCTGCGGTTGCCTCATCACGTAAACCGCTAGAGCTTAGACGATCGTACAAAGACACTCACCAAACCGCAGACACTGCGCAGTGACCTAAAAGCTGAAAAGCTGAACAACAGCAACAAAAGACGGGTAATACAAAAACAAGAAAGCCCCAAGGCTAGCTTAGAAAACCGAATAGTTAAGCACACTTGCCATTTGAATCATCTGCTTACACATTTAGTATGACAAAGATGTTTTACGAATCTGACTGTATTTTCTAAAAACAGATGTGGAAAATATTTAAGACTATTCTTATAGAACTAAAGAATTATGAATAGACTTTTTAAACAATCTATGAAAACCATTATGTTTATAATTTATAATTTCGACTTTTTAATGGCTTATAATATTGGGATCTTGTGCAAAATATATTTGTAAAAGTGGAACGAAAGAGGTAACAAATGGGAAAATCGTTTTGGGGCGTTACAAACTTGTGCTTAAAACTTGAAAGCCCCCGAGAAAGAGAAGGGAAATCGCTGGCAGCCAAAGAGACGCGCTGCCGGCGATATAATCAAATGTACAGTTATAGAAAATTATAAGCCAGCGACACAGAACGTCAAGCGAAACGAAGGCGATGAAGCAAGTGGGGAGGGGAAAACGGCTAAAACGATCGCCCATTGTAAAAAGCGGGTGGTGAGGAAGAGGAAGAGAGCAAGAGGGTGGGGGAGTGCGTTTACCGTTATCATTATGAGCACGCAGCTCCAACTAGCTCTCTCCATCTCCCTCTCTCTTTCTTGCACAGCAACAAAACGCGTTTTGTTTACGAAATGTGTGTGGAGAGAGAGGCGGCGATGAAAACAGGAACGGCAACAAAGAATTCACATTATAAATATTTATGTGGGAGCCCACGAGAGAGTTTCTGCATGCATAATTAAGAAACATAAATTTAGAGGGAAATCACACACATAACTTGCTTTTTGGGGCGTGGCAAGGAAGACCAATCAAAACAAAATCTCGAAAACCAAATAGAGCGCATAAAACCATTTTGAAATTTAAAAATACGACAGATATACGATAAAAGGTAACAGGTTTCAAAAAGAGTTAAAAAAAGAGTTATTTGAAATACGGAAACTGAATTTGTAACCCAAAATTATTTTCAAAATTATATTAATATCTTTACAAATATGTATAGAAATTAGAAAAACCTCAAATAGTGTACGGAAAAAGTTATTCAATAACTTTTAAATTTATCGTATCATAGAAAAAAATTTTTTCCAGCGCCAATTGTCAAGTAAAAGTACAGTGGTGACCAAAACATGGCAAAAAAATAAAGCACGAGCGAGAGAGGGCGAGATAACAGAACTTTTGTCTAATTGAACTGTTTGTTTTTTTCCTCTTTTGGACCCGTTTTTCGGACCTGCCACAAAAGTACACAACACAACAAAACACAACATTTGGCGCTGCTGTACTTACGCGATTTGCGCTTCTCAGTGTGCGTGACCTTCACGACGAGTTTTGAAAAACATCAACAACGTGCGTGCGTAGTACTACTACGCATAATAACACACACACGCGGAAAGCTTATCAGCGAAGACGACTAAAAATAAACACGAAAATAAGAAATTCGCGCCAAAACGCAAAAAAACATCATCAGCAGGCGCAGACAAACAGAGAGAGAGCACAAAAGCGAGAAAAACAGGCTCTCTCCTCTCTCATGTATGTTTGTCCATATGTGTGCGAGTGGGCTGACGTCGTCGTATAAGAGTGACGCGATTGTTGTTGTTCTCCTCCGGTTGAGATTGCGTTTGTCGTTGTGGGTGCGGCTTTTACAACAACAAGAAGTGGGGAGCCCACTAACACAACCACGAGAGATCCCATGTACAGTCGCAGGCGTGTGCCAAGTAGTTGATTTTTTGTTGTTTTTTTTTGTTTGTTTGTTGTTTTCCCCCTTGCAAAACTGCAGCTAGCAACAAAAACAAGAAAATGAAAACCAGAAGGCGTTGGCGCTGATTTAAATTTAATTAAGGCCTCTCAATTAATTGCCTCTGCATTTTACGCTTCTTATTTTCGTCTTTTCGGCTGCAATCTCTTTCTGCGTAGGAAAGAAAGATTTTTGGCGCGCGATTGTTATTCAACAGTTTTTATTTTGGCGTACAGTTTGTTGTTTAGCTTTTTTCGCTTTGACACACTGCCAAACCAAAGACAAACTGGCGACGAGCTCTCTCTCTCTCCTCCGCCGCCTCCGCTCTGCCTCTCTCTTTCTCCGCCTGCCACGATATCAGCGGAATATCAGCGCAAAGTAAAGCAGTCATAAATAACAATAAGCCCAAAATTAAAGGTACAGTCGAACTTCCATAAATTGTTGTTAAATATTCAAAAGTGGCTAGCTACTAAAATGTTTGGATCTCAAACTAACGGCGATAAGTGGAAAACTTTTGAATAACAGTACAGTCTAACTTTAAAAAATATTGTTTTCGAAACTTGGTAGCCTTTTTTAGCGTAATTTAAAGAAGTCATAAAGATGATATGCATCGTAAAAATATTCTATTTGATAACAGATTTTGTGTCTTTATGTTTTAAAAAAAACTTGTTTTTTTGTAATTCTCCAGCTGGTTTACAATATTTTTCGAATATGAATTTCGAATTCGGCTTATACAAGTTTAACTGTAGCAATGGCTTTGCGGTTTCTCTCCAGAGTCAATACAACAATCGGGGCCCTTGACATGCGGAATTGATTAAAAAGTCGGGGGCTCCACGATGAAAGCGAAGTGTGAATAAAGTTCGTATCGTTTTTGGGATCGTAAAGTGGTTAGGAAACAGCATGGCAAAATGGAACGGCGCAAAATAACAAACTTCTATCAAAACAAAAACCGAAAAACAAGCTTTCGATGCAGAGAAAAGATTCCGAGTTCGTACGAAAAAAGGAAAACGTGAAATGAATATGAAAGTGTGTGCGGGGGGACGACCTGGGGGAGCCATGCCAAATAAACCGATAAAAAAGGGGCATTAACGGCACTTAAGCCACTCCAACACACAAACGGAGTGCACTATGTGTGCACAGTTGTTGCAAATATTGATCCGAGCCCTTAGCGCAGTTAAATATCCAAACAAGGGCCAAATAATAGATACAGTACCGACTGGGCGATTAGAACCCCTAGATAATAGATATTTTAAAGTTTTGTTTCTCAAAATTTGGAAGATCTTTCTTGAAAATATTGTACAATGATATATTTTCAATTTTCTATACATTTTCTATTTAAACATTTTCTTCTACCTATAAAACAAATCCTTAAGATACGCACCTGAATGAACCCAAAATAAAATCCAAAAAACTACACCGAAAGGGAGAGAGCAAATAGGACAAAAAGGAAGTGACAATAAGAATCAACGTCCAAAGGGAAAAACGAAATTAGGGAAATCTGAACACAATGGTGGTTTTTTCCGACCAACGGATAGAATTTTATAAGGGTGAAGTTTCATTGAGGCAAAGGACGAGCACAAAACAAGGACTGCAAGAGGAAGGAATAACGGAAAAAGAAACGAAAATCAGGTGCCTGCTTATTGGACAAAAAAAAACTATATACACTTTTTAAATATAGCCAATTTTCTAGATGTTGTATTATTTTCGATTGCTAACGTCTCAAAAGAAATTATAAAGAAGAAACTGACTTAAAGATAACTCCACGATTGTATCATATCTGGTTAAAAGGTTATTCATAATGATATTTTCTAGATTCCTAAATTGATATTTTCTGATCCTCTATCTATGTAAATTTTTTCGATCTGTTATTAAAGTATTCCTCAGATATTTCTGTGCAGGTCTTCAAGGTGTTTCATGGGAAAACAACCCATATAAATGATGGGAAAAAAACCTACCTTTGAGGCCTTGTGGCTGCGCCGCATATGGCTTTTGGCCATGTCTCGTGCTGTTGGCCAGATCCGCACTGCTGTCGCTTTTGTTGCTGTTGTTGAGTGTGCGATTCTGGAGGATCAGCTGGGCGCTGGCGGAGATCTGGGGGGCGGTAAGGGCCACGCCCCTGGGCACTTGACGACTGACTGACTTGGGATTGTACTCATCATCGGCATCGCTACTTGGTATCGCCCGCATGATGGGGTATCGCATTCCCCTGGGCGCTTGGCTATCCGCATCCGCATCCGAATCCGCGTCCGAATTTTGTCCTCGTCGATCCTCCAGCAGAATATCCACTCCGTAGCGCTCCTTCACGTACAATCTCTTGGAGCTCTGCTCCTGGGCCAACAGCTGATCGATTTTCGGGTCCCCGGGAACCGAACCAAATAGATTGCGGCAGATTCGTTTCGTTTCCAGGGCGCTGGGCGGTGGGCGTGGCGCCGGGGGGGCGGGGGCGTGTTGAAGGGTCAAACCCATCGGCGGACATAGAATGGCCATGATTGTGCTTTTTGAAGACTTTATTTAAACTTTTTCTTTGCTTTTTCGTTTGTTTGCAAGTATTCTCGCTTTGTTTCTCTGCTTTCAGCTTTCACTTGAACTTTCACACAGGCACTGCGCGAAATTCACGTACGCATTTTAGGCATTGCAATTGCAGTTTCAATTGGTTTTCTACCGCTGGCAAACTTTTGTGTTTTATTTTTCACTAGCAGCGGAGAGCTGAACTTTACGACTTTCACGCGAGCGGAAAAAAAGAGTGTAGATACAAAGAGTGAATTTGGATACGACCGTTCGCAGCGAAGTTCGACGAATGAATGCCCAAAGCGGAATCGCACAGGGAAATTCAAAGATACTTTTGCTTAACAGGCTGTTAGTTAACATGGCCTTAACATGCTCATTTGCTCAAAATGAGCTGCTTACAGTTGCCTTACAGTTGATTCTCTCTTGCCCTGCTCTCTTGCATGCGCAGAGCGAGAGAAAGGTGGCGCAAGTAACAAAGGGGAGAGGAGACCGGGTGACGTCATGGATTGCATTTACTTCCCTAATGTTTGAAACAAAACAAATTCAATATTCTCGGTTTTGGCAGACATTATTTATTTAAAAACTTTATTATAAAATAATATTCGTTTCCTTTGAATATTTTCTTATAGATAAACAAACAATTTATTTTTAAAATATTTATTAAATTTTTTTTTATATAAAGAAAAAAGTGATTTTATAAAATAGAAAAGTTGGCATAATATCTAAACATTTAAACACAATTATCAAAATAATAATTATCAATAAAAAAGTGCCTCAAATATCAATAAATTATTCCATAAAATATATTAAGCTTTAAAAGTACAGGGACATTTTTTTTATTAAAAACGAACTAGCTTCATTTATATTTTTTTCGTAATTTAAAAAAGATCAATTTTTATTCATATTCTGTTTTGTTTAGTTTTGTTTAATTTTTTGCAACAATATTTTATGTTATTCATACAACCTAATTTTATAACAAATGTGATATGATGAATTTAAAGTAGTTCATTAAATAGGCGAATATCGCTGTGACATCATAGACTCTGTTAAATAAATAAAAGTTTCTACTTTACGCTAAGAGAGCATACTAATTACAAAGAGTACCTGTCCGAAAGAGAGATCTCCAGCTCTACAATTCAGAATAATGTATTTCCCCTTCTATGGTAAATAGTAGTCGGACTCGAACTCGGACCTACGATATTGATTATTTACATGTAACAATTATGGAAAGTGAATCTGTTTTTTGTGTGCCAATTATAGGCTGTGTAAATACAATTAGTTATGCTAGACTCCGGGCATGTTTTTGTTTGGCTCACACAAATACCAGGCTAAATGCTAGCTAACTGGATGTGTTAGCGCTTTTTGGGCCCTAGCTCAAGGTCAAAGCGGGCTTCATGCGGCATTAAACGGCCTAATTGGCCAGACGTGCCTAGAACAAATTACTTGCGACGGAAAAAGAAATATTCAGGGGAACAATCTGTATAATAGAGAGGCAAAATATGCAAAATTTCAAAACAACACAAAAAAACACTTTCGCGCTCGCGGCGGCAATTCAAGCAATTCAAGCTCGAACAAACGAAAGTGAAAAGAGTTGAAAAACCGCATAGAAATAGAGGTAGGAGTTGGCAACACTCACTCACTATTGTGGTATCAATGTGGGCCACAAGTCATTTCAATTTCAATATTGCTGAGTCAGCCCAGAACCGGGAACTGACTGGGTTTTTAGACAGCTTGGAGCAGCTGGCATTTTATTTAGCCTTTGGCTCGGAGTCAGAGATCTTCAGGCCCATTTCGTCTGGCTCTTTGACCGCCGGACCGATTAGTCATTTTAAAGAGTAAGAGTCCGGACAAAGGCCGCGCCCAAAGGATTGCGATTTATTATTGTTTTCAAGCGTACAGTGGTGCCTCGTAAAGGGATGATGGAAAATGCGGAAAAACATTCAGGGTTTTTAAAAGATTTACCAAAAAAAGTCTTATATATCTAAATTACTAAACCCTGAATTTGGAATATTGTCCTTCGATGTATAGAATACTTTAAAATTATCCTTAAAAACAAATAATAATATTTTAATATTAATATAATTTAACAGGTATTTATGTCATAAGATACTTTTACATAACCCAAAAAAAAAAAAAAATCACCTTAATAATTGTAAATTTAGATTGTTTTATTAGGGTGTAAGTAATGTATAATAACAATTTTTTATTTAACTAAAATTTTATTTTTATTTGCATATAGAGAAGTGTTTAGAACTAAAAAAAATAAAATAAATTTATTGTCAATAAAAAGCTTTAAAATATCTCCATTTATTTATGTATTTTACTATACACAAATCTTAGAACTTCAGTGATCACTGTATAAAGGATGATTGTTTTACTTCGTTCTTGTTTTTTTTGGCGCGATGTCCAAATTCGGATTGGCAACTACCTGCTTAAGAGGTGAACAGGGGTTGAGGGTTGCGATTGAGGATCGGATGGGATGGGATCGGGTGGAGGATCGGTGGCACAGGTCGGAGTGGTGCCTATGCAAAAACCAACCCTCGCGCCAAAAAATCTACAATATAAAAACCAGGCACTCGAAGGGGGAACAATGCAGTTGGAAATGTGTGAAAGTCCCCCTGTTTTCCGATTTTTTCCTCAAATCTCCCACCCCACTTTTCCCGAGGCCCAGTTGCTGCGTCATTTCCACCGAAATGCGTTTCAGCTTTAGTTATTTTGATTTCGTTGCTGCGCTGATTTTTCTCTGGGCATTATTTGAATGCATGTCAGGGAGTGTAGAGTGGTGTATGCGTGTATATTTTTATCTTTTAGATGTTTTCTGGGTACGTGTCTGGGTCTACTGATGGGCTACTTTTCCGCCGTCACTTCCGCCGAACGCAGCTTGTCTGCGGAAAACTCAAGCTGTTTTTCCTGGCTGGCAGAAATTAGTTTATGGCCCACGTACCATGTAACCCAGGGGCCAGAGACCAGAGACCAAAGACCGGAGAATAATGAAAGAATGAACCCAACGGAACCGATCAATGGAACTGTCGCACGCGCTGTCCATGAGGTTAACTGCTGTTTTAGTGCCGAATTACTGGAGGGAGTACGAGTACGAGATACTCGGTAGGAGATACTCAGTCCTCAGTCTCGACTGACGTCACGTTCGTCTAATTAATAAATGAGCTCATTAAAGAGAAGGTCCCCTCTTTTCTCCTCCCCCCGTCAGCTGTTTTTCTTTTTTCTTGTGTGCAATGTGCAATATGGATTTGGTTGCGCGTGGCAACAACAATATCTACAAATATGGTTGGGTGAAATGTATCTACCAGATAATTTGCAGTGGAAAAAAATGGTAATTTTACCTGCATATATTATAAATGAAATCTATCTTTTAATTCTTAAATCTTTTTAAAGTAGCTAATATTTTATACACTTATTAAAATCCTAAATGAATTGATTTATCTTAATTTTGTTCAAGAAACTACAACAGGAGAACTTGAATATCCCAATTATGCTGAAATCAGTGCGTCATGATTGGTGACTCATAAAAAAAATACAAAAGTAAGTTAGTTAATTGTTAATTGTTTAAAAAGTTTCTCCAATTACTTTAAGTAGTGCCTTCCACAGTGATTTTCCATTTGAAAACACAAAAAATATATCTCTGTTTATTTATTGTCGATGAGAAACTAAATCTTTTTAAGAGAAAGTGTATAAAGTGGAAGTTTATAAACAACATATGAGTGCAGTATTGGATCTGTTGATATACAGTGGAAAATTGTATCTTTTTTTCCATGTACGGTCGAATGTCAGCTATTTTTAATGTGCTGATGCGTTTTAAGGGGGTGGTATATATGCACATTTGCACATGATATAGGGATTCGAATGGGAAGTGGGGTTTTGGGGTCTGGGGTCTTTGAAATGCGTCACAAAATCGGCGCCGAACTCATACATGCACAACCTGTGCTGCTGCAGTTGCTTTCCATTTTGCGTTTTGTATTTTTTGAGGCATCTGTAAATTTTGCGCCAATTTCTGCGGCTGCTGCTGTTGTTGTGGCTATATGGATGTGGATGTGGATGCGACTGCCCTCATCATCGGAGCCACACGGATACGAATACGAATACGAGTGCGAATACCTGCTGCTGGTAATTTTGAGCACAAATTTTTTGCGCCAAAACCAAAACCTGAATCTGACACAGCCCGGTGCAATCGCCCTCTCTCTTCCTCTCCACCGCCCGCTCCATATCACCGTATCTCTCTTCCCGTTTCCGCACTTGAAATACATCCCCATTTACACTGGAAACGAACTATTAATATTTAGGATTTTAATTATTATATACAGCACTATAAATAGAAAGCATTTTAGTTTTCTTAAAAACCAATAAAAGGAGAATATTTTTACAAGGAAAATATCGTTGGATTTAAATTGGTTCGATATATGTATAAACTAAAATAATGGTCCCACAATTGTAAAATTATACCACAAATATTTCAATCTTATTAAATTCTACTTAGGTACCTACTTACAAGCTTTAAATGCGATAGAATAGATATTTGTATAATGAATCGTAGTTTCATAAAGTCTGCATAATATCTTTCTTTACATTTTTATAACATATTTATACTGTAATATAAATTCCTTGTTTTTATGCGGACTTTGAAATAAGATCTCTCTTCATCTCTACTCTCAAATACGATCCTAATTTCTTTCAGTGCACCTCAACATCCTCACACGCGTTCGAATATCTCGTTGAGCTGCTCAAGCTGGAACAAGTGCTTTGCTTTTTCCTTTCTCCCGCCCCGTCCACCGTCTTATTTTCCTTTTTCTGGTTTGGTTTTTTGAGCAGCAGCCGGAGAATCGGAGACGCAGACGAAGACGGAGCCGGCTCAAAGAATTCTCGTTTTGAGCCGCCAAAAGTAACATCTGCTCCCCAAAAAGCATAGACAGCCCAGGAATTGTCGTTGTCCGCTTTGGGTTTCTGTTTTTTTTTAAAAGGTTTTTTTTGGCTTTTATTATGGCCTTGCCCAAAACAAAACATAAAATGAAATAAAGCGGGGAAAAGGGTTGAGGTATGCGGTTTTATGCAGGGGGACTCGGGATCAAATCCGGCACTTTCTGAGGGGCGATAAATGCGTATCAATTGGACACTCGAGAGATAGAATTACACGTTCCCATTCCTCTCCGTTTACAGAGGTTTGTAATTAAGGCCAGTCCCTGATTGCTCTCATTGTCCTCGATTGTGATTTCCTCAATTCAGATTGAAAATGAAAAGAAAGTTGTTGGGTAAGACGATTTTTATTTGTTTTTTTAT